ATTTGCAATGGCTCGTTGCGAAAGACTACATCTTTGAAGTTCAACAATTCTGCCCAGTTCGAACTTTGTTAAAATGTTACCCTCAGCCTTTTTGAAATCTGAAATTTAATACTGGAAATGAGTTCCATAGATGTCTACACGCCTGAGGCTATGAGCACACTGACTAGTTCTAAATTTTTTGTCCAGTAATTTGTTTTTTTCACACATTGTCTTTTCTTTATAACCAGCCAAAAAAGATCCTTTTTTCAATGTTTGTTTAAATTAATCAATTAAAAGTTTAAAATGTTCCCTTGTTTGTTGATAAACTACATTTTCTAATTAAATCTAAATGTTTCGCAAATATATTTTGATTAAAGTAATAGTATTTTGTTTTTAACCCTTTTGTATCTGGTCTTAAGATTTTGACCACGGGTGTATTTAACCAGAGCCAGGCATGCGTACTAACTTTTTCATTATACAGTTTATGGTATTGTCTCTTTTAGGAAACGAGTCTTTTATATACATAAAATACTGCCATCAGCATTGGTCGTTCCCTTGTAATTTGTATAACAAAATCCTGGGTGTAGCGTGCATGCATTTATTCAGCCATAAAATCTGTATATACCGATACGGTCGACTTTGATTTCCCTATAAGCGGTTATACTTTCGACAGAAAAAGAAAGAAAAAAGTAAGTGTAAATAGAAAAGAAAAGAAAGAAATTATGAGAAAGAATGTCTGAAACGATATAAAGAAGCAGGAATACAAGTGTAATAAAGAAAAGATGTGAAAGAATGAATTAAAAAGAAAGAAACAAACGAAAAAGAAAGCAACCAAATATAAAGACGAAAGAAAGTATAAGAAAAGAAAGAATGAAAAAAGAAAGAAAGAGAAAGAAATATATTAAAAAGAAAGAAAGAAAGAAAGAAAGAGAGTATAAGAGAATAGTATAAGAAATAAAAAAAGAAATTATAAGAAATTAAGAACGAAAGTGAAAGAAATGAAGAAATCATTGGAAAGAATAAAAAGAAAAAGAAAGTATAGAAAGATAGAGGGAATGAAACAGAAAAAAGCAAGAGATTATAAAGGAAGTAAAAACAGAATATAAGAATAAAGAAATAATAATAAATCATTCATTTCATTTCTGGTAGTCATTGCCTGAATGATAGATCTTCCATAAGTACAGTTTTCTAGACAAATTTTATTTGCATAATTAAATGATCGCTTCAAGTTAAGCAAAATTGCTGCAGAAAGGGAATGTTAAAAAGAAGCGATTTTAAAAACAAATTCTTTTCGATTATGCGAGGTTAAAAATATATATTACTATATTATACTAGCCATTATATTTGCTTTTATAGTTCAAAATGTTAACCTAGATTAAAAGCCGCCCTATCGAATGGCATTTAAGCTAGCTCCTGTGGAGGTCTCTTGGTTTTGTCATCATCACAATAGCTAGAGAGAGAGGTAGATGCTACAGGCATCAATAAACTACAGAAGAACTCAAAATTGATTGCTGCTTTTAAGTATTGAATTAATTTTTAAGCTTTTAAAAGTTCAACCATAATTCTTCTGCTGGCACTGAATTTAAAGTCGATGTGATGTACGTAGATCCTTATTTTCCGTACAAACAATTATTTTTATTTCATAGATGACAAAACAGAGGACAATTTAAAATTAATATAGTGTAAATATAGGAAAATAGAAATTAGAATTAGTTATATATTCAACATTTGAAGAGTTAGAGAAACATAATGGCTAATTAAGCAAAACCTTTATTATGGAATCTATGAGAATAAATTGAATCTCAATTCTCCTACGAATTCTGAGTTTAAAAAAAAACAACTCTACGCTATAGTGATTTACACAGTTTTTACTCATTCCCCCCACGGGAACGAGACGTGACACAAGGTCTTTTTAATGTGGGGACCCGAGCGCGTACACTCGGGCAGGGACAAAAATTCCCCACAGCCCCCGCAACCGTCGGTTGCGCTGACCTCGGTGCGAGCACCGATCCCTCCCTGTGGTGCAATGGGGGGCTTCGGGCAGCTGTTCCCCATGGTTGGGCACCTTTTCAGTATAATTTACTCAGTTTCCCCTCTGTCCTTTGACAGAGTCGCCCCTGAGCGCACTCTGTCCAAGGACAGAGACGCAACTGAGAGATGATAAGAAAACGTGAAATTACTCAAAAAGAGTAATTGACACGCTAATAACTCAATATCTGTATTATTTATTATCTGCTTCTAGGCAATATCCCTCTTCCGGTTTAACTAAATTGCATATTGGTTTTTGAAAAGATTATTTCATTAATTAACTGTCCTTCATTACTGTTCCTTTATTCGAGGATTTTGTTTTTGATTCTCAGATCAAAAATAGTTAAGAATATTGTCTTATATAGTACAGAAAAGTGTTTGAAATTTACATTTTACTTGGCCTTCAACAAGTTGGCATCTATTTGTAAAACTTTCCTTAGCTATAACAAGCCAATTTATGAATGAAATGTTCATTTAAAAGTTTTGTTTCAAAGATTTCAAGTAGTGAATATATATTGCTTTGCGAAGCGACAGTCAGCGGACGAATCTTGTTAGTAAAATATAAATATAAAAATGCATTGGAAATTATTTTCGTTCTAAAAGTATAGCCGGAATGCATTTTTCAGTATGAATAAATTGGAAAATAATCTTATTAGGTACATCAGGGAAAATAGTTTTACTATTAAAATACATGAAAAATGATTTTGCTATAAACGACTGAATATCAATTACAAAAAGATAGAATGCATTTTGTCAGCAAAAAGGACATTCCAACATACAAATTACAAATCGGGGATACCAATATTAAGCAAATACAGCAATTTAAATATCTGGGAAGTGTTTGAACAGAAGACGGAAAATGCTAGACCGAAACCTGCAAGCGCATTGGGATAAAGAAAAATGCCTTCTAAAAGCTAAGCAAGGTATTAAGAAACAGGGAATGTTCATTGGAGCACTGAAATTGTATGCGACATCGAAGTCCTATATGGCAGTGAATGCTGGAAAATCTTCTCACAGGGGAAGAAAGGACTTGAGGCAAGAGAAATGTGGTTCTGCAAAAAGGTACTGAGAATACCATGGACTTTTACATGTGAAAAACCAGGAAGTTTGAGGGGAAAATGGAAACAAAAAAAAAGACGTACTACAAATCAGTAATAGGAAATTGAAATTTCTCATGAGGGAAGAGAGCTTGAAAATTTTGATACTCTCAAGTAATGTGCACGACAAAAGTGACTGAATAAAAGAAGCCATAACATCCCTGGCAAACTGGTGTTTAAGAAAGATAGAAAAAGGGCAGAACATACTAAGATATACAAAGAACAGAAAATTGTGAAGAGTCGTGATCGCTAATGTCCAGAAGCGGAAGGACACACAGAAATACACGTTAAAAATGATTATTACTATAAAATATATGTTATTATAAATGATATTACAGTTTGAATGAAGCTTTGTTTTCTTGACGAACAAGAGATTTATAAAAACAAATTCTGATTTTGATTTGGTAAGATTTTGGGAACAGTTTTTTTTTTAAATCACTTTGGAATTTGGGTGTATATTCTAAATTCCAGTGACATATTTTTGAAATAATCAGTTTTAACGGAATATAAAAAGCGTAAAATTATTCACCAGTATAATTTATTGACACCAAAGTACTTCTTTCCTTAGTCTGTTAAAATCTATCTATCTATCTATCTATCTATCTATCTATCTATCTATCTGTGTCGGTGTAATCATATCTATGTCAATCTGTTCATCTATATATATATATATATATATATATATATATATATATATATATATATATATATATATATATGTTGGTCTATTTATATCTATGTCATTCTGTTCATATCTTTCTATCTATCTATCTATCTATCGTCCCCATTCTATTTGGAATGTGCAACCGTTTTCAGCAAAATCCTCGGTTATCAAATCTATTTTCAGTTTCTAGTCTTTTTTTAACCATTCTCCTCAAGCAAGGGGATAATGCCACTAAGACGCAAAGGGTTAGTGGAATTGAAATAGAATGAGAAAAAAATCATGAGAAAGAACCGCAAACCCAATCCTAAACAGGAAGCAAAGGATGCTCCTTTTCAAAAGACGAGGAAGGAGTATCAATTGGGCAATAGGCGAACCTATCTACTCCTATTAAATGAAAAGAAAAAAAGAGATTTACTGTATTTGACGGCATATAAGGCCCACTTTTTTTCTTTTTTTTTTTTTACTAAAAATAACTTTTAAAATTCCCCTGCGATAATAATTCGCGATAGTCGGCCGAAATTAGCTACCCGTCAAATCCTATTAACTTAAATATGAAGGAGCAATAGAACACGTGGATGGCAATGCCTGATCATCACCTCACACTTACAGGAAGAATAAAAAGACCTTGCATTGCACAAGTCTGAGAATGGGTTAAGCAAGCTTGGGATAATATTAGACCAGAAATTGTTGTGAAATCTTTTAAAGAGTGTGGCATTAAAAATGCTCTCAATGGAACGGAAGATGGCGCATTATTTAACGACGACGATAGTAGTATTGAAAATGAGTATCAGTTTTGATAACGAAGATGAATAAAATTTTAATGGTAACTTTACTGTTTTGCTCAATTGTAATAATTTCTTGATTTTTATTTTGTTTTCTTACCTTTGGATATAATAAAATTTTATGGGCTCGTGTTCTTTTTTTCCTATTATTTTTCGTTTAATTGTAATCATGTCTTCTTTAACCAAAATAATACCTCATAAATATAGCGTAGGCTGTACCATTTACTAATAATTTTATTAATTTTACTAATTACTAAGTTTTTCTTGATTTTCCCTGCTGAAATTGGGATGTTTCTTATACACCAGAACGGTAATTAAAAAGAAAAAAAAACTAACTTGAAACTAAGAGCGCTGGGAACTTATGTGTTTTTGGTGGATAATGAAAAACAATCACTTAAAATTTTTAAAAAAAATATACAATTATATTCACAATATTCATTTAGTTTCCAGCTGTATCACCATTTTCTATTGTAATATCTCATCCCTTCTACTTCGCGTTCATCGAATATTTCCATCCACTTTAGTTTGTTTATATGCCGATGGCGCCCCACCCCACACAAAACGCCTCTTTGTCATCAACCTATAACAACAGTTCCGATCAACTTCACTGTAGTCGTCTCAATTGACACACCAAGAGCATAATAACAATAAACAATGCGTAAGAGGCTCAAAAGTGTGCAGACATCGGCAATCTAGCTTTCAGCCTATTTGTAGCTGCGAGGAAGATCTTTGTTTACGCCGTCCTCATAAAACATCTCACGGTTCAGATTCGTAGAATGGTCGATCAAAAGAACAAAACAAAACAAAACAAAACAAAACAAAAAACGACAAAATGTCTCATACTATATAATTTATCGAAATGTAATGAATACAATGGAACCTCGATTCATGAATTTAATCCGTTCCTAAAGCCCGTTCGTAACCCGAAATGTTCGTACTCAGAAACTATTTTTCCAATAGGAATCATTGTAAAATGGATTAATCCGTTCCTAGTCCCAAGATGATTGCATATCTAAACATACTTAAACAGTACTTTCTCCACAAGTTTACACACAAAACTAATGAAAGTCATTAAATCTTAGAAATAAAATAAAAATACTAAAAAGATAAAATATAGAAGAACACTTTAATTTTACCGTAGCTGTATGTAGGAGAGTTGATGGCGTAAGTTGAAGTGGAAGGAAAGTCATGTTATTGTTTGGAAAAGAGAAGGAAAGTCATGAATAGTATCTATCGTTGATTTTGCCATATGAAACTGGGTAAGAAGAGACAATATCATCAACAATTATTTTTCTCTTAACTTTTCTTTTTAATTTACCAATATCACTGCTAGCTTTCTTTGGAGCCATGACTGAGGACTTCTGAAGAGAAAAAAAAAGGCACAGTACAGTAAAATTGGAAAAGAAAAGAAAAGCACAATACACGAATGTATACAAAATGGCGGTCGACTAAGAAATGATTCTGTTCGGTTTAACTCGGTTCTGCAATGTTGTTCGAGGACCGAGATTTTATTTGATAACCCAAGCATGTTCATCTCGAATATTTTGTTCGAAAACCGATTTGTTCGACACGTAAGACGTTCAAGAACCGAGGTTGAACTGTATTATAATAATAATCATTGGGCATTTCTGTCTGTATAAGGCCAGGTTGTATGACCAGATAGCATGCTTCAGGAAAGCTAGCGGATAGGTTGCAGAGAGGAGTAAATTACTCGATGCATCCCTCATCTCGTCTTTCCTTCTATATTTTCTGTGAATGACATTCTCCAAGCCTCCTTTCTCATTATGGAGTTATTTTCCAAGCGTAGCTTAGATTTGGCACAAGGCTGAAAGTATGGGTCACCTAGTGAGGATCGAACTCACTACTCAGTCCTAATTGTTCTAGCTAGACAAGCTTTCTAACCATTACGCTAACTCGAGGTGCCTCCTTTCTCATTATGTGCCCCAGAAATTACAGATCTTTCTTTCATATGCTTTGTGGAAGAGTCCATTCTATTTTAACTTCTTTTAAATGTTCTTTCGCTTGCAGATTTTTTTCTTCAATTTTGGAAATTGACGCAACACAGTCGTTCTAACACCACTGTAATCCCATTTTCGCCATGTTTTAGATTCTTCTATGCGTAGTAAATATCGCTAGGGTTTCAATAGTAATACCTACTTTGCTAGAATAATGTTTTTTCAATGTTTCATTCCAGGTTTAGAAATTGTGCTTTCACTATCGAGATAAATTGAGTTCTCGCCCGGTTCGCTTGTACAGAAATAGCAGACCTTTTATTCTGATGCCAGGAATTTCAGTTTTATACATGGATTAAGATAATATCTGTAGTTATCTGTTCTCCCCTGGAATTTAAAATAACATTCTTTCTTACGTCCCAGTCAGACCATACTTACGAATCGTCGTGACGAAATACGTTTATTTTCGCTTGTAAATCAATTTTTTTTGGTCGACATGTTGTGAAGGGTAGACAAATCACTCTGTGTTCTCGTCATAAATATACAAAAATTTTTCGTGCAACATTTTATAACAAACAAGCACACACACACATAAACACACTCACACATACAAACACACACGTATAACCCGATAAATTCTATTTTTGTATATCCCTTCAAGTTACGACAATGTGTCACGTTAATACAAAAGCTGCCATCATTTTCGTGACAATATATTTTATTCATATGAATTTGAACCTTTATTATTCGGCTATTAATGTATTTCACCTTGTTTTTCTATTAAATTCCAAAACATTAATATCTATGTTTCCTACTACTGGGTATCATATGCCACTAAGATTCAATTATTGAAAATATTTAACAAACGTACCAGACAAAGAAAAGCCGTGTCAAATGACGATTTTTCTCCTTGTTGCTACTACTGTATACTCCCTCGACAAGTTTCATTGTTTGAAAAAGCTACTTTTAGAATTTATTAGATCCAAAGATATATTGGGATGGTCAGAGATGCATTCCAAATGCTAGGCCGAGTATTACGAAAGAAAAGAATTTCTTTGGTAACAAAGGAAAGTACTGAGGTGCTACGTAACATCTTTCCTCCTTTACGGTAACTAATGTTGAACGATCTCCTCAAAGATCAAGAAGAGATCAACAGAGGTATGATTCTGCAGAAGGATGCTGAGGATACCATGGACCGAACATGCGAGTAACGATCAGGCTTTGGAGAGAATTCAAACAAGGAGGAAGCTTATACTTATCAGGAAGAGGCAGCTGAAATTTCTGGGACAATATATTGAGAAAGAAGGGCTTGGAGAAACTGTTACTCACAGGTCGAATAGAAGGAAAGAGAGAAAAGGAAAAGCAACGCATGACATACCTAGCGGGCTTAAACAAGTCGATGATAAAACATGGTCTGGGGGAAGTAGAAAAGGGAGAAAACATATTGAGAGCTACAAGAGATAGAGGAAGTGGAGGGCCATGAACGCCTACGCCCTAAAGGAACAGGGTACATACAAAGAAAAGAATAAAACTCAAACATGCGAAACTGCATATATACACTTTTTTCGGGGGGCGGGGAGTTCAGATATTATTGATCACTTTGAGCTCTGATAAAAAGCTTTACCGGTGGTAGAGAAAAATGACTTAATGCCCAGCAACCGGGTAAACGGTGGTAGAGAAAAATGACTTAATATCCAGGAACCAGTTGAAAGGTGGTAGAGAAAAATGAATTAATGCCCAGCAACCGGTTGAACGGTGGTAGAGAAAAATGACTTAATGCCCAGCAACCGGTTGAACGGTGGTAGAGAAAAATGACTTAATGCCCAGCAACCGGTTGAACGGTGGTAGAGAAAAATGACTTAATGCCCAGCAACCGGTTGAACGGTGGTAGTGAAAAACTTAATGCCCAAACCAGTGAACCAATGCCCAAACCGGTTGAACGGTGGTAGAGAAAAATGACTTAATGCCCAGCAACCGGTTGAACGGTGGTAGAGAAAAATGACTTAATGCCCAGCAACCGGTTGAACGGTGGTAGAGAAAATTGACTTAATGCCCAGCCACTGGTTGTACTGTGGGTAAACACTTGTAAATAATTTTATATCTACCTTGAAACATTGCATACCGATTATTTGCGCATTTTTTACTCAGGAGCTCAGGCAGGGTTAGGGTTAAATTTGTTCAGGATTGCGGGGCTCAAAGGGTTCAGGAATTTATGTTGCGAGTGCAAATGAAAGAAATAACTAAAAATTGCATTTTTTCATAAATTTATTGCATACCATTATGTGTTTGTTTAAATTTCTTTAAAATTTATTGCTCATCGTTATGCGCATATTTAAATATTGTTTTTTTCTCTCTAGTGAAATGTCTATAATTTTATGAATAAAAGTAACTTTGTTTTCATAATGACTGCGCGTCTTGTGTGAGACGATAAACTACATCCAGCAGCAAGGCCTCTCATCAGGAGGTTTTGAGAATCGTGGAAACACCTCTTAATTTCTGTTGTTCCCAGATCCACCTTGGCACCGGGTGGTACCACCTGCTAGGGTCTCAGCTATGGGCAAACAGTTGACTCCCCAGAAACTGGGGTCAAAACACTATGAAAGTATAAAAATAGGTTTTAATACCAGAAATACATTTTTGTAAAAAATATTACCAGCAATGTGTTTTTGAAGGAAAAATTATTACCAGCAATTTCGAATTCAGCTCCCCGATTTTTCAATCCGAAAGCATATGGATTACTCGACGCCGCACTTTTGTTTTTTACGAGTTATCAACCCTTTGTAGATTATTTAAAGTTGAAAACTATCTTGGGATTATAAGAAGATTTTTTTCGCGAGTAAATTTTTCATTAACAAGTTTCGGAGATAACCATGATTTTTCGAGATACAAGTCCTTCTACTTAATCAACAACTGACAGGAGATGACAGATCCATACCTTTCTCAAGGGTATATGCGTGTAAGCGAATATAACGAACCCAACTGGAAGAAAACCTCGGCTCTCCGATTTTTTCATTCCTAGCATCTATTCACTAGGTCACGCGTAATGTAGATTAGCTATGTGTAACTGCGGCAGCAATGAGATGTGAACATAATTTAAAACCATTCAACTATGGAATGCCTGTTTGAACCAGGAAAAAATAGCACATTTCTGCTAGGCGACGTCATTATATTCCAGACAGACATCAAAGGCACGTAAAAACAAATGATAAAAAACTCACAGCGACTGACAAGGATGGTAACTAATCATTGTATAAGATCACACTTCTGTTCAATGCTGGTTCCACTGAGCCCATCATAAAACAGATTTTGTTTCATACACATCTTACCTTACGGTTATTACAATGATTGACACCATAGCATCGATTACTGAGCTTCAGCATTCACTACGTATTCCTTTGGTTAGAGAGATGTTCCGTAAAGAAAGATTCTTTCTAAGATCCGATACTTTATAGAACAGATTCTCGTGTAACTCTTCCTAGAGAGTGACAATCTTTACCTCTCCAAGTCAAGGGTCCACCTTTATCTATTTTTTGTGATGTCAACGAACACTCGTTGTCACTTCCGTAATGCTCGTTGTAATAGAGACTTTGTAATCGCAGCTACAACTATAGTACGCCATTGAACAATTCTGTCG